TTTCCTCTCCTGGACCACTCCCTCCCTGTGCCCCTCTCATCCATGCATTCCTGTCTGTCCAGCCTTCCCTCTATGTGAGTGATACCCCTCTGGTGTCTCATGGCTGCTTGATCCAAGGGGTGTGTCTCTTTACAGTAGGTGGGTGCATCGACCTGGGGTAGGTGTTCTGTCTGTGGGTCTTTCTACTGTTGGGCTGAGAGCAAATCCATGTAAGTCAGTCCAATTCTAGGCCATAGTCTCAGGGTTCCACCAGTATCTATCTGACCAGTAATTATGGACACTTTTGTGTTTTTGAATTTTGTTCCACATTTTTCCTCCCACACTATCCAGGATCTCCAGGATTGATCCCTTTCCGAGCAGTTGATATTGGTACCTGGGCACCATCTATCTCTTCTGGTCTCTGGTCATGGAAGGTGAGGTTCTCGTGGTCCATCTTATCATTGGACTAATTTTTTCCAGAGGACTTTTATTTTCTTCATTCTTCTTTGCTCCAGCCGAGAGGAGACCAACAGTCGCATCTTAGATGGCCGTTCAAAAGTTTTTAAGACTCCAGTTTCCACTCACCCAAGTAGATTGTAGAACAAAATTTTTATGAACCTGTGTGCCAATTGAGCATGATATCTCCAGAGACTATGGTCTTGAGGCCCTAGGCCTGGTGATTCTCTCGAGATGTTTGGTTGTCTCTGCAAAGTTACTTCCATCCTGTTTTCTGTTGCTTCTGTATTATATGTGGCTAATTTTGTAGCACAGTGCCTCTGTAAGATTATCTTCAGCTAAATCTATCCTTGGCCTAGGGTCTATTCCTGTTCACCTACCCCCATCTGCTCTTATCACCTGTCCATGCACTAATCCGTAGCCTGGTATTTGGTGCTAGTGATACTACAGTGTTGTGCTTGTAAAATAGTATTTGCCTCTGTTGTCTATATCTTCTGTGAACATTTCATTGTCTTTCCTTTACCCAATGTGACCATGCTGGTCACAGACTCTTTCCATACCATTTCTCCACTCACACAAATCAACATGTGACCCCCAAATAGTCTGAGATTTTACCTTCCATTCGCTCCCATCCCCGGTAAGCAACAAAGTGAGATTCCTTCCCTGAATAAACTTTCCTTGGCTTTTTACAATAGTAAAAAGGACAATATTTGTCCTTCTGCAATTGACTTATTTCACTCAGCATAATGTCTTAGAAAATCATCCATGTTGCAGGATGACTTGTGTATTCTTCATTATTCTTTAATGTTGCATAGTACTCCATTATGTGAATGTATCATAGTTTGGTTATCCAACTATCTGCTGATGGGCACTTAGGTTGCTTCCATTTCTTTGTTGTAATGAATTGTGGTGCGATGAACATAGGTGTGCATATGTCTGTTCATGTCCTGCCTCTCATCTCTTTAGGATATATTCCTAGTAATGGAATTGCTGGATCAAATAGTATTTCTATTTTCAGTTTTTTAAGGAAACACCATACCATTTTCCACAACAGTTGTACCATTCTGCAGTCCCACCAGCAGTGTATGAGAGTTCCAATCTCTCTGCAGCCTCTCCAGCATTTGTTATTTT